TAGACCAGGCAGGCTTGTGGACTCGGCACGCTCTTGGACTAGGCAAGCTGCTTGACCAGGCACGCTCGTGGACCAGGCACGATCCTGGACCTGGCAATGTCTTGGACCAGGCAAGCTCCTAGACCACGCAAGCTCTTGGACCAGGCAAGCTCCTAGACCAGGCAAGCTCCTGGACCAGGCAAGCTCCTAGACCAGGCAAGCTCCTAGACCAGGCAAGCTCCTGGACCTCGCAAGCTCTTGGACCAGGCAAGCTCTTGGACGAGGCAAGCTCTTGGACTAGGCAAGCTCGTGGACCAGGCAAGCTCTTGGACCATGCAAGCTCCTGGACTACGCAAGCTCTCGGACCAGGCACGCTCCTGGACCAGGCAAGCTCGTGGACTAGGCAAGGTCGTGGACCACGCAAGCTCCTAGACCAAGCAAGCTCTTATACCAGGCACGCTCCTGGACCAGGCAAGCTCTTGGACCGGGCAGGCTTCTGGACCAAGCAAGCTTTTGGACCAGGCAAGCTCTTCGACCAGGCACGCTCATGGACCATGCACAATCTTGGACTAGGCAAGCTCTTAGACTAGGTAGGCTCGTGGACCAGGCAAGCTCCTGGACCAGGCAAGCTCCCGGACCAGGCAAGCTCCTTGACCACGCAAGCTCCTGGACCAGGCAAGCTCGTGGACGAGGCTCGCTCGTAGACCAGGCACGCTCCTGGACCAGGCACGCTCTTGGACAAGGCAATCTCGTGGATCGACACGCTCCTGGACCAGGCAAGCTCGTGGACCAGGCAAGCTCCTCGACCACGCAAGCTCTTGGACCAGGCAAGCTCCTGGACCAGGCAAGCTCCTGGACCAGGCAAGCTCCTGGACCAGGCAAGCTCTTGGACCAGGCAAGCTCTTGGACCAGGCAAGCTCGTGGAACAGGCAAGCTCTTGGACCAAGAAAGCTCCTGGACAAGGCAAGCTCCTGGACCAGGCACGGTCGTGGAACAGGCAAGCTCATGGACCACGCAAGCTCCTGGACTAGGCAAGCTCCTGGACGAGGCAAGCTCGTGGACCAGGCAAGCTCCTGGACCAGGCAAGCTCGTGGACCAGGCAAGCTCCTGGACCACGCAAGCTCCTAGACCATGCAAGCTCTTGGACGAGGCACGCTCTTGGACCAGGCAAGCTCTTGGACCGGGCAGGCTCCTGGACCAAGCAAGCTTTTGGACCAGGCAAGCTCCTGGACCAGGCACACTCGCGGACCATGCACGCTCTTGGACCAGGCAAGCTCTAAGACCAGGCAGGCTCGTGGACCAGGCAAGCTCTTGGACCAGGCAAGCTCCTGAACTAGGCAAGCTCCTTGACCAGGCAAGCTCCTGGACTAGGCAAGCTCCTGGACCAGGCATGCTCGTAGACCATGCAAGCTCGTGGACCAGGCAAGCTCTTGGACCCGGCAGGCTCGTGGACCAGGCAAGCTCCTGGACCACGCAAGCCCCTGGACCAGGCAAGCTTCTGGACCAGGCTTGCTCGTGGACCAGGCACACTCCTGGTCCAGGCACGCTCTTGGACCAGGCAAGCTCGTGGATCAGGCACGCTCCTGGACCAGGCAAGCTCCTAGACCAAGCAAGCTCCTGGAGCAGGCAAGCTCTTGGACTAGGAAAGCTCCTGACCAGGCAAGCTCCTTGACAAGGCCAGCTAACGGACCAAGAAAGCTCCTGGACAAGGCAAGCTCCTGGACTAGGCACGCTCGTGGAACAGGCAAGCTCCTGGACCAGGCAAGCTCCTGGAGGAGGATAGCTCCTGTACCAGACAAGCTCCAAGACCAGGCACGCTCCTGGACCATGCAAGCTCCTAGACCAGGCAAGCTCCCGGACCGGGCAAGTTTTGGACCAGGCAAACTCGTGAACCAGGCAGGCTCCTGGACCAGGCAAGCTACTAGACCAGGCAAGCTCCTAGACGAGGCAAGCTCCTAGACCAGGCAAGCTCCTGGATCAGGCAAGCTCTTGGACCAGGCAAGCTCCTAGACCAGGCAAGCTTCTGGACAAGGCAAGCTCCTAGACCAGGCAAGCTCCTGGACCACGCAATCTCTTGGACCACGCAATCTCTTGGACCAGGCACACTCGTGGACCAGGCACGCTCCTAGACCAGGCAAGCTCCAGGACGAGGCAAGCTCTTGGACAAGGCAAGCTCCTGGACCAAGCACGCTCCTGGACGAGGCAAGCTCCTAGACCAGGCAAGCTCTTGAACTGGGCACGCTCCTGAACCAGGCAAGCTCTTGGACCAGGCAAGCTTCTGGACAAAGCAAGCTCCTGGACCAGGTGCAAACCTGGACCAGGCACGCTCCTGGACAAGGCAAGCTCCTGGACCAGGCAAGCTCATGGACCACGCAAGCTCCTGGACCAGGCAAGCTCATGGACCAGGCACGCTCCTGGACCAGGCAAGCTCCTGGACAAGGCGAGCTCCTGTACCAGGCATGCTCCTGGACCAGGCACGCTCTTGGACCAGGCAAGCTCCTGGACCAGGCAAGCTCCTCGACCAGGCAACCTCCTGGACCAGGCAAGCTCCTGAACGAGGCACGCTCCTGGACCAGGCAAGCTCCTAGACAAGGCAAGCTCCTGGACCAGGCAAGCTCCTGGACCACGCAAGCTCCTGGACTAGGCATGCTCTTGGACAATGCAATCTCCTGGAACAGGCAAGGTCCTGGACCAGGCACGCTCCTGAACCAGGCAAGCTACTAGACCAGGCAAGCTTTTGGACAAGGCAAGCTCCATGACCAGGCAAGCTCCTGGACCAGGCAAGCTCCTGGACTAGGCATGCTCTTGGACAAGGCAAACTCCTGGAATAGGCAAGCTCCTGGACCAAGCACACTCCTGGACCAGGCAAGCTCCTAGACCACGCAAGCGCTTGGACTAGGCACGCTCTTGAACTAGGCAAGCTCTTGGACCAGGCAAGCTTCTGGCCCAAGCAAGCTCTGGACCAGGCACAAACGTGGACCAAGCATGCTCCTCGACAAGGCAAGCTCTTGGACCGGGAAAGCTTCTGGACCAAGCAAGCTCTTGGACCAGGGACGCTCGTGGACCAAGCACGCTCCTAGACTAGGCAAGCTCTTAGACTAGGCAGGCTCGTGGACCAGGCAAGCTCCTGGACCTAGCAAGCTCCTGGACCAGGCAAGCTCTTGGACCATGCAAGCTCCTCAACCAGGCACGCTCCTAGACCAGGCAAGCTCCTAGACAAAGCAATCTCCTAGACCAGGCAAGCTCCTGGACCAAGCAAACTCGTGGACCAGACACGCTCTTGGACCAGGCAAGCTCTTGGACCACGCAAGTTCCTGGACCAGGCACGCTCCAGGACGAAGCAAGCTCCTGGACCACGCAAGCACTTGGACCAGGCAAGCTCTTGGAGCAAGCAAGCTCCTAGACCAGGCAAGCTTCTGGACCAGGCAAGCTCCTAGACAAGGCACGCTCCTGGACCAGGCAAGCTCCTAGACCAGACTAACTCTTGGACTAGGCACGCTCCTGAACTAGGTAAGCTCTGGGACCAGGCAATCTTCTGGACCAAGCAAGCTCCTGGACTAGGCACAAACCTGGCCCAGGCAAGCTCCTGGACCAAGCAAGCTCCTAGACCAGGCACGCTCGTGGACCAGGCACGCTCCTGGACCAGGCAAGTTCCTAGACCAGGCAAGCTCCTGGACAAGGCAAGCTCCTGGACCAGGCACACTCCTGGACCGGGCACGCTCTTGGACGAGGCAAGCTCATGGACCAGGCAAGCTCCTAGACCAGGCAAGCTCCTGGAACAGGCAAGCTCCTGAACCAGGCACGCTCCTGGACCAGGCAAGCTCCTGAACAAGGCAAGCTTCTGGACCAGGCAAGCTCTTGGACCAGGCAAGCTCGTGGACTAGGCATGCTCTTGGACAAGGCAATCTCCTGGAACAGGCAAGCTCCTGGACCAGGCACGCTCCTGGACCAGGCAAGCTCTTGGACTAGGCACGCTCCTGAACTAGGCAAGCTCTTTGACCAAGCAAGCTTCTGGACCAAGCAAGCTCCTGGACCAGGCACAAACCTGGACCAGGCATGCTCCTGGACAAGGCAAGCTCGTGGACCGGGCAAGCTACTAGACCAAGCAAGCTCCTGGACCAGGCCCGCTCGTGGACCAGGCACGCTCCTCGACCAGGCAAGCTTGTGGACAAGGCACGCTTCTGGACCAAGCAAGCTTCTGGACCAGGCAAGCTCTTGGACCACGCAAGCTCCTAGACCAGGCAAGCTCCTGGACCAGGAAAGCTCGTGGAACAGGCAAGTTCCTGGACCAGGCAAGCTCGTGGACCAGGCAAGCTCCTGGACCTGTCAAGCTCCTGGACCAGGCAAGCTCTTGGACCAGGCAAGCACGTGGACCAGGCATGCTCCTGGACTAGGCAAGCTCCTGAATCAGGCAAGCTCCTTGACCACGCAAGCTCTTGGACCAGGCACGCTCCTGGACCAGGCAAGCTCTTGGACCAAGAAGGTTTCTGGACCAAGCAAGCTCCTAGACCAGGCAGGCTTTTGGACCAGGCAAGCTCCTGGACTAGGCAAGCTCCTGGACAAGGCAAGCTCCTAGACCAGGCAATCTCTTGGACAAGGCACGCTCCTAGACAAGGCAAGCTCTTGGACCAGGCAGGCTTCTCGACCAAGCAAGCTCCTAGACCAGGCACGCTCCTGGACAAGGCAAGCTCTTGGACCAGGCAAGCTCCTAGACCAGGCAAGCTCCTCGAACATGCAGGCTTCTGGACCAGGCAAGCTCCTGGACAAGGCAAGCTCTTGGACCCGGAAAGCTCCTGGACCAGGCAAGCTCCTTGACCAGGCAAGCTCCTGGATTAGGCAAGCTCTTAGACCAGGCACGCTCCTGGACCAGGCAAGCTCCTTGACCAGGCAAGCTCCTGGACCAGGCAAGCTCCTTGACCAAGCAAGCTCCTGGACCAGGCAAGCTCCTAAACCAGGCAAACTCGAGGACCAAGCACGCTCCTGGACCAAGCAAGCTCTTAGACCAGGCAAGCTCTTAGACCATGCAAGCTCTTAGACCAGGCAGGTTTCTGGACCAAGCAAGCTCCTGGACCAAGCAAGCTCCTAGACCAGGCAAGCTCTTGGACCAGGCAAGCTCCTGGACTAGGCAAGCTCCTGGACAAGGCAAGCTCCTAGACCAGGCAATCTCTTGGACAAGGCACGCTCCTAGACAAGGCAAGCTCTTGGACCAGGCAGGCTTCTCGACCAAGCAAGCTCCTGGACCAGGCACGCTCCTGGACAAGGCAAGCTCTTGGACCAGGCAAGCTCATAGACCAGGCAAGCTCCTGGAAAATGCAAGCTCCTGGACCAGGCAAGCTCCTCGACCAGGCAAGCTCTTGGACCCGGAAAGCTCCTGGACCAGGCAAGCTCCTTCACCAGGCAAGCTCATGGACTAGGCAAGCTCTTGGACCAGGCACGCTCCTGGAACAGGCAAGCTCCTTGACCAGGCAAGCTCCTGGACCAGGCAAGCTCCTTGACCAGGCAAGCTCCTGGACCAGGCAAGCTCCTAAACCAGGCAAACTCGAGGACCAAGCACGCTCCTGGACGTGGACGTGGACGTGGACGTGTACGTGGACGTGGACATGGACGTGGACGTGGACGTGGACGTGGACCTGGACGTGGACGTGGACGTGGACGTAGACGTGGAGGACCTGGACGTGGACGTGGATGTGGACGTGGACGTGGACTTGGACGTGGACATGGATGTGGACGTGGACGTGGACGTGGACGTGGACGTTGACGTGGACGTGGACGTGGACGTGGACATGGACGTCGACGTGGTCGTGGACATGGACGTGGACGTGGACGTGGACGTGGACGTGGACAAGGAAGTGGACCTGGACGTGGACGTGGACGTGGACGTGGACGTTGACGTGGACATGCACGTGGATGTGGACGTGGATGTGGACGTGGACGTGTACGTGGACGTGGACATGGACGTGGACGTGTACGTGGACGTAGACGTGGACGTGGACGTGGACGTGGAGGACTTGGACGTGGACATGGACGTGGAGGTGGACGTGGACATGGACGTGGACGTCGACGTTGACGTGGACGTGGACGTGGACGTTGACGTGGACATGGAAGTGGACGTGGACATGGACGTCCACGTGGTCGTGGACATGGACGTGGACGTGGACGTGGACGTGGACGTGGACAGGGAAGTGGACCTGGACGTGGACGTGGACGTGGACGTGGACGTGGACGTTGACTTGGACATGGACGTGGACGTGGACGTGGACGTGGACGTAAACGTGGACGTGGACGTGGACGTAGACGTGGACATGGACGTGGACATGGACATGGACGTGGACGTGGATGTGGACGTGGACGTGGACGTGGACATGGACCTGGACGTGGACGTGGACGTGGACGTGGACGTGGACGTGGACATGGACGTGGACCTGGACGTGGACCTGGACGTTGACGTGGACATGGACGTGGACATGGACGTGGACGTGGACGTGGCCGTGGACATTGTCGTGGACGTGGACGTGGTCGTGCACGTGGTCGTGGACATGGACGTGGACGTGGACGTGGACATGGACGTGGACGTGGACGTGGACATGGACGTGGACGTGGAGGACATGGACGTGGACATGGACGTGGACGTGGACGTGGACGTGGACATGGACGTGGACGTGGACGTGGACGTGGACATGGACCTGGACATGGACGTGGACGTGGACATGGATGTGGACGTAGACGTGGACGTGGACATGGACGTGGACATGGACGTGGACGTGTACGTGGACGTAGACGTGGACATGGACATGGACGTGGACGTGTACGTGTACGTGGACGTGGACGTGAACTTAGACGTGGAGGACTTGGACGTGGACGTGGAGGTGGACGTGGAGGTGGACGTGGACATGGACGTCGACGTGGTCGTGGACATGGACGTGGACGTGGACATGGAGGTGGAGGACTTGGACGTGGACATGGACATGGACGTGGATGTGGACGTGGACGTGGACGTTGACGTGGACGTTGACGTGGACGTGGACGTGGACGTGGACTTGGACGTGGACGTGGACGTGGACTTGGACGTGGACATGGACGTGGACATGGACGTGGACGTGGACGTGGACGTGGACATGGACGTGGACATGGACGTGGACGTGGACGTGGACGTAGACGTGGACATGGACGTGGACGTGGACGTGTACGTGGACGTGGACGTGGACGTGGACTTAGACGTGGAGGACTTGGATGTGGACGTGGAGGTGGACGTGGAGGTGGACGTGGACATGGACGTCGACGTGCTCGTGGACATGGACGTGGACGTGGACGTGGAGGTGGAGGACTTGGACGTGGACATGGACATGGACGTGGACGTGGACGTGGACGTGGACGTTGACGTTGACGTGGACGTGGACGTGGACGTGGACGTGGACGTGGACGTGGACATGGACGTGGACGTGGACGTGGAGGACATGGACGTGGACATGGACGTGGACGTAGACGTGGACGTGGACGTGGACATGGACATGGACGTGGACATGGACGTGGACGTGGACGTGGACATGGACATGGAGATGGACGTGGACGTGGACGTGGACATGAACGTGGACGTGGACATGGACGTGGACATGGACGTGGACATGGACGTGGACATGGACGTGGACGTGGACGTGGACGTGGACATGGACGTGGACGTGGACGTGGACGTGGACATGGACGTGGACGTGGACGTGGACGTGGATGTGGACATGGACGTGGACGTGGACGTGGACATGGACGTGGACGACTTGGACGTGGACATGGACGTGGACGTGGACGTGAACGTGGACGTGGACGTGGAGGTGGACGTGGACATGGACGTGGACGTGGACGTGGACGTGGACGTGGACATGGACAGGGACATGGACGTGGACGTGGACATGGACGTCAACGTGGTCGTGGACATGGACGTGGATGTGGACGTGGACGTGGACGTGGAGGACTTGGACGTGGACATGGACGTGGATGTGGACGTGGACATGGACATGGACGTGGACGTGGACGTGGACGTTGACGTGGACATGGACGTGGACGTGGACGTGGACGTGGACATGGACGTGGACGTGGACGTGGACGTGGATAGGGACGTGGACCTGGACGTGGACGTGGACATGGATGTGGACATGGATGTGGACGTGGACATGGACGTGGACATGGAGGTGGACGTGGACATGGACGTGGACGTGGACGTGGACGTGGACGTGGACGTGGACGTAGACATGGACATGGACGTGGACGTGGACGTGGACGTGGACGTAGACATGGATGTGGACGTCTACGTGAACGTGGACGTGGACGTGGACGTAGACGTGGAGGACTTGGACGTGGACGTGGACGTGGACGTGGACGTGGACTTGGACGTCGAGGTGGACGTGGACGTGGACGTGGACGTGGAGGTGGACGTGGACGTGGACGTGGACGTGGACGTGGACGTGGACGTGGACATGGATGTGGTCGTGGACGTGGACGTGGACATGGACGTGGACGTGGACGTGGACGTGGACGTGGTCGTGGACGTGGACGTGGACGTGGACGTGGACGTGGACATGGAAGTGGACCTGGACGTGGACGTGGACATGGAAGTGGACCTGGACGTGGACATGGACGTGGACGTGGACGTGGACGTGGAGGACATGGACGTGGACGTGGACGTGGACGTGGACGTGAACGTGGACGTGGACGTGGACGTGGACATGGACGTGGACGTGGACGTAGACATGGACGTGGACGTGGACGTGGACGTGGACGTGGACTTGGACATGAACGTGGACGTGGACGTGGACGTGGACGTGGACGTGGACCTGGACGTGGACGTGGACGTGGATGTGGAAGTGGACGTGGACGTAGACGTGGACCTGGACGTGGACGTGGACATTGTCGTGGACGTGGACGTGGACGTAGACGTGGACGTGGTCTTGGACGTGGACGTGGACGTGGACGTGGACGTGGACGTGGACGTGGTCTTGGACGTGGACGTGGACGTGGACGTGGACGTGGTCGTGGACGTGGACGTGGACGTGGACGTGGACATGGACGTGGACGTGGACGTAGACGTGGACGTGGACATGGACATGGACATGGACGTGGACGTGGACGTGGACGTGGACGTGGACGTGGACATTGTCGTGGACGTGGACGAAGACGTGGACGTGGTCGTGGACGTGGACGTGGACGTCGACGTGGACGTGGACATTGTCGTGGACATGGACGTCGACGTGGACGTGGACATGGAGGACATGGACGTGGACATGGACTTGGACGTAGACGTGGACTTGGACGTGGACATGGACATGGACGTGGACGTGGACGTGGACGTGGACGTGGACGTGGAGATGGACGTGGACGTGGACGTGGACGTGGACATGTACGTGGACGTGGACGTGGATATGGACGTGGACATGGACGTGGACATGGACGTGGACGTGGACGTGGACATGGACGTGGACGTGGACGTGGACGTGGACGTGGACATGGACGTGGACGTAGACGTGGACGTGGACGTGGTTGGGACGTGGACGTGGACATGGACATGGACGTGGACGTGGACGTGGACCTGGATCTGGACCTGGACCTGGACGTGGACCTGGACGTGGACGTGGACGTGGACGTGGACGTGGACATGGACGTGGACGTGGACGTAGACGTGGACATTGTCGTGGACGTGGACATTGTCATGGACGTGGACGTGGACTTGGACGTGGACGTGGTCTTGGACGTGGACGTGGATGTGGACGTGGACGTGGTCGAGGACGTGGACGTGGACGTGGACGTGGACGTGGACATGGACGTGGACATGGACGTGGACGTGGACGTGGACGTGGACGTGGACGTGGACGTGGACATGGACGTGGACATGGACGTGGACATGGACGTGGACGTGGACGTAGACGTGGACATTGTCGTGGACCTGGACATTGTCGTGGACGTGGACGTGGACATGGACGTGGTCATGGACGTGGACGTGGACGTGGACGTGGACGTGGACGTGGACATGGACGTGGACGTGGACGTGGAGGACATGGACGTGGACATGGACGTGGACGTAGACGTGGACGTGGACGTGGACATGGACATGGAGATGGACGTGGACGTGGACGTGGATATGAACGTGGACGTGGAGATGGACGTGGACGTGGACGTGGATATGAACGTGGACGTGGACGTGGACGTGGACATGGACGTGGACATGGACGTGGACATGGACGTGGACGTGGACGTGGACATGGACGTGGACGTGGACGTGGACGACTTGGACGTGGACATGGACGTGGACGTGGACGTGGACGTGGACGTGGAGGTGGACGTGGACCTGGACGTGGACGTAGACGTGGACGTGGACGTGGACATGGACGTCGACGTGGACGTGGATATGGACGTGGACGTGGACGTGGACGTGGACGTGGACGTGGACGTGGACGTGGAGGACTTGAACGTGGACATGGACATGGACGTGGACGTGGACATGGAGGACTTGAACGTGGACATGGACATGGACATGGACGTGGACGTGGACGTGGACGTGGACGTGGACATGGACGTGGACGTGGACGTGTACGTGGACGTGGACGTGGACGTGGACGTGGACGTAGACGTGGAGGACTTGGACGTGGACGTGGACGTGGACGTGGACGTGGAGGTGGACGTGGACGTGGACGTGGACGTGGACATGGACGTGGACGTGGACGTGGACGTGGACGAGGACGTGGACATGGACGTGGACGTGGACGTGGACGTGGACATTGTCGTGGACGTGGACGTGGACGTGGACGTATACGAGGTCGTGGACGTGGACGTGGACGTGGACGTGGAAGTGGACGTGGACGTGGACTTGGCAACGTGGACGTGGACGTGGACGTGGACGTGGACGTGGAGATGGACGTGGACGTAGACGTCGACATGGACGTTGACGTGGACGTGGACATGGATGTGGACGTGGACATGGACGTGGACGTGGACATGGACGTGGACGTGGACATGGACGTGGACGTGGACATGGACGTGGACATGGACGTGGACGTGGACGTGGACGTGGACGTGGACATGGACGTGGACGTGGACGTGGACATGGATGTGGACGTGGACGTGGACGTGGACGTGGTGATGGACGTGGACGTGGATGTGGACGTGGTCGTGGACGTGGACGTGGACGTGGACGTGGACATGGACGTGGACGTGGACGTGGACATGGACGTGGACGTGGACGTGGACTTGGACGTGGACGTGGACGTGGTCGTGGACGTGGACGTGGACGTGGACGTGGACGTGGACGTGGACATGGAAATGGACGTGGACGTGGACGTGGACGTGGACATGGACGTGGAGATGGACGTGGACGTGGACGTGGACGTGGACATGAACGTGGACGTGGACGTGGACGTGGACATGGACGTGGACATGGACGTGGACATGGACGTGGACGTGGACGTGGACGTGGACATGGACGTGGACGTGGACGTAGACGTGGACGACTTGGACGTGGACATGGACGTGGACGTGGACGTGGATGTGGACGTGGACGTGGACATGGACGTGGACGTGGACGTGGACGTGGACATGGACATCGACGTGGTCGTGGACGTGGACGTGGATGTGGACGTGGACGTGGACGTGGACGTGGAGGACTTGGACGTGGACATGGACATGGACGTGGACGTGGACGTGGACATGGACGTTGACGTGGACATGGACGTGGACGTGGACGTGGACGTGGACATGGACGTGGACGTGGACGTGGACGTGGATAGGGAAGTGGACCTGGACGTGGACGTGGACATGGACGTGGACATGGATGAGGACATGGACATGGACGTCGACATGAATGTGGACGTGGACGTGGACGTGGACGTGGACATGGACGTGGACGTGGACGTGGATGTGGACATGGACATGGACATGGACTAGGACGTGGACGTCGACGTGGACGTGGACGTGGACATGGACGTGGACGTGTACGTGGACGTGGACGTGGACGTAGACGTGGAGGAATTGGACGTGGAGGACTTGGACGTGGACGTGGACGTGGACGTGGACGTGGACGTGGACAGGGAAGTGGACGTGGACGTGGACGTGGACGTGGACGTGGTCATGGATGTGAACGTGGACGTGGACGTGGACGTGGACGTGGACGTGGACATGGACTTGGACGTAGACGTGGACATAGACGTGGACGTGGACGTGGACGTGGACTTGGACTTGGACGTGGACGTGGACATGGACGTGGACGTGGACGTGGACATGGACGTGGACGTGGACGTGGACGTGGACATGGACATGGACGTGGAGATGGACGTGGACATGGACGTGGACGTGGAGATGGACGTGGACGTGGACGTGGACGTGGAGATGGACGTGGACGTGGACGTGGACGTGGAGATGGACGTGGACGTGGACGTGGACGTGGACGTGGACATGGACGTGGACGTGGACGTGGACGTGGACATGGACGTGAACGTGGACATAGACGTGGACGTGGACGTGGACATGGACGTGGACGTGGACGTGGACGTGGACGTGGACATGGACGTGGACGTGGACGTGGACATGGATGTCGACGTGGTCGTGGACATGGACGTGGACGTGGACGTGGACGTGGACGTGGATGTGGACGTGGAGGACTTGGACGTGGACATGGACATGGACGTGGACGTGGACTTGGACATGGACTTGGACGTTGACATGGACATGGACGTGGACGTGGACGTGGACATGGACGTGGACGTGGACGTGGACGTGGATAGGGAAGTGGACCTGGACGTGGATGTGGACATGGACGTGGACATGGATGTGGACGTGGACATGGACGTGGACATGGATGTGGACGTGGACGTGGACGTGGACATGGACGTGGACGTGGACATGGACGTGGATGTGGACATGGACATGGACATGGACGTGGACGTGGACGTGGACGTGGACGTGGACCTTCTCGTGGACGTTGACGTGGACGTGGACGTGGTCGTGGACGTGGACGTGGACGTGGACGTAAATGTGGACGACGTGGACGTAGACGTGGACGTGGACGTGGACGTGGACGTGGAGATGGACGTGGACGTGGACGTGGACGTGGACGTGGACGTCGACGTGGACGTGGACGTGGACGTGGAGATGGACGTGGACTTGGACGTGGACGTGGACGTGGATAGGGAAGTGGACCTGGACGTGGACGTGGACATGGACGTGGACATGGACGTGGACGTGGACATGGACGTGGACATGGATGTGGACGTGGACGTAGACGTGGACGTGGACATGGACGTGGACGTGGACGTGGAAGACTTGGACGTGGACATGGACGTGGACGTGGACGTGGACGTCGACGTGGAGGTGGACGTGGACCATGGACATGGACATGGACGTGGACTTGGACGTGGACGTGGACGTGGACATAGACGTGGACGTAGACGTGTATGTGGACGTGGACGTGGACGTGGACGTAGACGTGGACGTGGACGTGGACATGGACGTGGACGTGGACGTGAACGTGGACATGGACCTGGACGTGGACGTGGACGTGGACGTGGACATGGTCGTGGACGTGGACGTGGACGTGGACGTGGACGTGGTTGTGGACGTGGACGTGGACATGGACGTGGACGTGGACGTAGAGATGGAGGACTTGAACGTGGACTGGACGTGGACGTGGACGTGGACGTGAACGTAGACATGGACGTGGACGTGGACGTGGACGTGGACGTGGACATGGACATGGACGTGGACGTGGACATGGACGTGGACGTGGACGTCGAAGTGTACGTGGACATGGAGGTGGACGTGGACGTGGACATGGACGTGGACGTGGACGTGGACGTGGAGGTGGACGTGGACGTGGACATGGACGTGGACGTGGACGTGGACGTGGACATTGTCGTGGACGTCAACGTGGACATGGACGTGGACGTGGTCGTGGACGTGGACATGGACGTAGACGTGGACATGGAGGTGGACGAGGACGTGGACGTGGACGTGGACGTGGACGTGGACATGGATGTGGACGTGGACGTGGACATGGACGTGAACGTGGACGTGGACGTGGACGTGGACGTGGACCTGGACGTGGACGTGGACGTGGTTGTGGACGTAGACGTGGTCATGGACGTGGACGTGGACATGGACGTGGACGTGGACTTGGACGTGGACGTGGACGTGGACGTGGTTGTGGACGTGGACGTGGACATGGACGTGGACATGGACGTAGAGGTGGAGGACTTGAACGTGGACTGGACATGGACGTGGACGTGGACGAGGACGTGGACGTGGACATGGACCTGGACGTGGACGTGGACGTGGACGTGGACGTGGCCATGGACGTGGACGTGGACGTGGACATGGACGTGGACGTGGACGTGGACGTGGACATGGACGTGGACGTGGACGTGGACGTGGACATGGAGGTGGACGTGGACGTGGACATGGACGTAGACGTGGACATGGACGTGGACGTGGACGTGGACGTGGAGGTGGAAGTGGACGTGGACATGGACGTGGACGTGGACAAGGACATTGTCGTGGACGTCGACGTGGACGTGGACGTGGACGTGGTCGTGGACGTGGATGTGGACATGGACGTGGACATGGATGTGGACGTGGACATGGACGTGGACATGGATGTGGACGTGGACGTGGACGTGGACGTGGACATGGACGTGGACGTGGACATGGACATGGATGTGGACATGGACATGGACATGGACGTGGACGTGGACGTGGACGTGGACGTGGACGTGGACGTGGACCTTCTCGTGGACGTGGACGTGGACGTGGACGTGGACGTGGTCGTGGACGTGGACGTGGACGTGGACGTGGACGTAAACGTGTACGTGGACGTGGAGATGGACGTGGACATGGATGTGTACGTGGACATGGACGTGGACATGGATGTGGACGTGGACGTGGACGTGGACGTGGACATGGACGTGGACGTGGACGTGGACGTGGATGTGGACATGGACATGGACATTGACGTGGACGTGGACGTGGACGTGGACCTTCTCGTGGACGTGGACGTGGACGTGGACGTGGTCGTGGACGTGGACGTGGACGAGGACGTGGACGTAAACGTGGACGACGTGGACGTGGACGTGGACGTGGACGTGGACGTGGAGATGGACGTGGATGTGGACGTGGACGTGGACGTGGACGTGGACGTCGACGTGGACGTGGCCGTGGACGTGGAGATGGACTTGGACTTGGACGTGGACGTGGACGTGGACGTGGATAGGGAAGTGGACCTGGACGTGGACGTGGACATGGACGTGGACATGGACGTGGACGTGGACATGGACGTGGACATGGATGTGGACGTGGACGCAAACGTGGACGTGGACATGGACGTGGACGTGGACGTGGAAGACTTGGACGCGGACATGGACGTGGACGTGGACGTGGATGTCGACGTGGAGGTGGACGTGGACCATGGACATGGACATGGACGTGGACGTGGACGTGGACGTGGACGTGGACATGGACGTGGACGTAGACGTGTACGTGGACGTGGAAGTGGACGTGGACGTAGACGTGGACGTGGACGTGGACGTCGACGTGGACGTAGACGTGGAGGACTTGGACGTGGACGTGGACGTCGACGTGGACGTGGACGTGGGCGTGGACGTGGACGTGGAGGTGGAGGTGGACGTGGACGTGGACGTGGACGAGGAGGTGGACGTGGACGTGGACGTGGACGTGGACATGGACGTGGACGTGGACGTGATCGTGGACGTGGACGAGGACGTGGTCGTGGACGTGGACGTGGACATGGACGTGGACGTGGACGTGGATGTGGACATGGTCATGGACCTGGACGTGGACGTGGACGTGGAGGTGGACGTGGACATGAACGTGGACGTGGACGTGGACGTGGACGTGGACGTGGACGACGTGGACCTGGACGTGGACGTGGACGTGGATGTGGACGTGGACGTGGACGTGGAGATGGACGTGGACGTGGACGTGGACGTGGACATGGACGTGGACGTGGACGTGGACGTGGACGTGGACGTGGACATGGACGTGGACGTGGACGTGGACATGGACGTGAACGTGGACATAGACGTGGACGTCGACGTGGACGTGGACATGGACGTGGACGTGGACGTGGACGTGGACGTGGGGACATGGACGTGGACATGGACGTGGACGTGGACGTGGACGTGGACATGGACGTGGACGTGGACGTGGAGGACTTGGACGTGGACATGGACGTGGACGTGGACGTGGACGTGGACATGGACGTGGACATGGACGTGGACGTGGACGTGGACGTGAACGTGGACGTGGACATGGACGTGGAGGTGGACGTGGATGTGGACGTGGAAGTGGACGTGGATGTGGACGTGGACGTGGACATAGACGTGGACGTGGACGTGGACGTTGACGTGGACGTGGACATGGACATGGACGTGGACATGGACGTGGACGTGGATGTGGACATGGACGTGGACGTAGACGTGGACGTGGACGTGGACACGGACGTGGACGAGGACGTGGACGTGGACGTGGACATGGACGTGGACACGGATGTGGACGAGGACATGGACGTGGACGTGGACGTGGACGTGGACGTGGACATGGACGTGGACATGGATGTGGACGTGGACATGGACGTCGACGTGGGTGGACATGGACGTGGACATGGACGTGGACGAGGACGTGGACGTCGACGTGGACATGGACGTGGACATGGATGTGGACGAGGACATGGACGTGGACGAGGACGTGGACGTGGACGTGGACATGGACGTGGACATGGATGTGGACGAGGACATGGACGTGGACGAAGACGTGGACGTGGACGTGGACTTGGACGTGGACATGGACGTGGACGTGAACTTGGACGTGGACATGGACATGGACGAGGACATGGACGTGGACGTGGACGTGGACATGGACGTGGACATGGAGGTGGACGTGGACATGGACGTGGACGTGGACGTGGACGTGGACGTGGACGTGGACGTGGACGTGGACGTGGACATTGACGTGGACGTGGACGTGGACGTGGACGTGGACGTGGACAGGGACGTGGACGTGGACGTGGACGTGGACGTGGACGTGGACGTGGACGTGGAGGTGGACGTGGACATGGACGTGGACGTGGACATGGATGTGGACGTGGACGTGGTTGTGGACGTGGACGTGGACATGGACGTGGACGTGGACGTAGAGGTGGAGGACTTGAACGTGGACTGGACGTGGACCTGGACGTGGACGTGAACGTGGACATGGACCTGGACGTGGACGTGGACGTGGACGTGGACGTGGACGTGGACATGGACGTGGACGTGGACGTGGACGTGGACGTGGTTGTGGACGTGGAGGTGGACATGGACGTGGACGTGGACGTAGAGATGGAGGACATGAACGTGGACTGGACGTGGACGTGGACGTGGACGTGGACATGGACCTGGACGTGGACGTGGACGTGGACGTGGACGTGGACATGGACATGGACGTGGACGGGGACATGGACGTGGACGTCGAAGTGGACGTGGACATGGAGGTGGACGTGGACGTGGACATGGACGTGGACGTGGACATGGACGATGACATGGACGTGGACGTGGACGTGGACGTGGACGTGGAGGTGGACGTGGACGTGGACATGGACGTGGACGTGGACGTGGACATTGTCGTGGACGTCGACGTGGACGTGGACGTGACGTGGACGTGGACGTGGACATGGACGTGGACGTGGACGTGGACGTGGACGTGGATGTGGACATGGACGTGGACGTGGACGTGGACATGGACGTGGACGTGGACATGGACGACGTGGACGTGGACGTGGACATGGACGTGGACGTGGACATGGACGTGGACATGGACGTGGACGTGGACGTGGGGACATGGACGTGGACGTGGACGTGGACGTGGACGTGGACATGGACGTGGAAGTGGACGTGGAGGACTTGGACGTGGACATGGACATGGACGTGGACGTGGACGTGGAGGTGGACGTGGACATGGATGTCAGAACATATAGCTTACCTGTTTGTGTAGGCCACAGTGGGGTATCCCATAAGGGGTACAACACAATTAGGTTTCCCATTTGTACCAACTTCTGACTTAGTCATTTCATTCCTGTTTACCTATCTTCACATGGTATAGAGCGGGTCCCTCTTAAGGACCGATTTTTTTTTGGGCCCACCCTCGATATTCTCTCTGCCCGGAGCGCCCTACTCTCCCCGAGGCGCGCTCCCCCCCCTCCCCCTTAGTGCATTTCCCGCTGCCTTTGTGGGCCCCCCCCGCGAGTAGCGCGCGAAATTTTTTTTTTTAGCGCGCGCGGCTCGGGCCCACGTCGCGCGGGCTTTACGGCCGCGCCGTGCCGCCCTCTCGGCCCGGCTGTGCCCCGCCGCCCTCGAATCGGCCACGCGGCCGCTTCGTCGCGGCCGCGGGCCCCGTTTTTGACGGCCCCGCCGTCCCTTTTTTGACGGCCCGCCGCTGCATTCTGCCGGCCCCGCCGTTTCCTGTCACGGCCCCGCCGTCCCCTCTCCCGGCCTCGCCGCTGCACCTTCCCGGCCCGCCGCTGAGCCGTGACGGCCCGCCGCTGCACCTTTTGACGGCCCGCCGCTGCACCTTTTTGACGGCCCGCCGCTGCACCCTGACGGCCCGCCGCTGTACCTGCTGACGGCCCGCCGCTGCACCCTGACGGCCCCGCCACTGCACACCCGGCCCCGCCGTCCCCTGTCCCGACCCACCGCTGCACCTGTCCCGGCCCGCCGCTGCACCTTTCACGGCCCGCCACTGCACCTGTCCCGGCCCCGCCGGCCTCTGTCCAGGCCCCGCCGCTGCACTGCAGCCGGCCCGCCCAGCAGCAGCCGAGCCGCCCAGCAGTAGCCGAGCCGCCCAGCAGCAGCCGGACCGCCCAGCAGCAGCCGAGCCGCCCAGCAGCAGCCGGACCGCCCAGCCGCAGCCGAGCCGCCCAGCAGCAGCCGAGCCGCCCAGCAGCAGCCGGACCGCCCAGCAGCGGCCGAGCCGCCCAGCAGCACCCGAGCCGCCCCACAGCTGCCGAGCTGCCCGGGAGTCGATCCGCCTTTCTGCTGAGCTGCACGACTTGCCCTGCCTGGTGAGCACAGTCCCTCTGTCACTGCGCCCTCTTTCCCTACTGCTTGCACTGCTTCGCTGTCGTCATCATGGCCACCCCTAGTGTCCTAGCCTTTGACGCCGAGGGTCGAGCCATTGATTTTGAGGTCTGGCTAGACGACCTGCAGCTTTTCTTACAGTGCGACAGAGCTGACAGCCTTTCTCTCTTTGACCTCACCTCTGGCGCCTCTCCTGCTCCTGCTGCCGATGCTGATCCCACTGTCCGCTCTCAGTGGGCCACCCGCGATGCTGCTGCACGTCTTGCTGTGCGTCGCCACCTCCCTACCTCTGAGCGTGCGCACTTTAGTCAGTACAAGAGTGCTCAGACCTTGTACGACGCTGTAGTTGCGCGCTACTCCTCCCCTGCCACTGCTGCACTGAGCCGTCTCATGCTTCCCTACCTCTTTCCTGACCTCTCTGCCTTTCCCACTGTCACTGACCTCATTACGCACCTCCGCACTAGTGACACTCGCTACCGCGCCGCCCTTCCTGCTGAGTTCTGCGCTAAGAACCCCCCCCCCCATGTACATCACTCTCTACTACGTAGTCGCGCGCCTCCCTGACTCCCTCCGCGTAGTCAGGGACCACTTTCTCGCAGTCTGTCCCACCACTCTCACCGTCGACCTCCTCGAGAAGGCCCTCCTCGCAGCGGAGAAGAGCATAGTCGCTGTAGGTGCCTCTCGTGGTGACCCTCGCACCCCCATCTTTGAGGGGTGCTCTCCTTCCCCCTTGCTGCCCTCTGTTGCCTCTGCTGCTGCGGCCGACCTGCTTGGTCTTGAGTCGGTCGGCGCGGCGTCTGCCCCTAGTGGGAGACGTCGCTCTAGCAAGGGCAAGGGGGGCAAGGGCGCGGGCGGAGCTGGAGGGGGCGGTGGCGGTGGCGGCGGAGGCGGCGGAGGGAGTGGGGGTGGTGGCGGGAGTAGTGGTGGTGGTGGTGGTGGTGGTGGCAGCAGCGGCGGAGACGGTAGTGGTAGTGCCAGCGGTGGTGGTGGAGGCAGCAGCGGGAGCGGAGGCGGTGGAGGTGGAGGCAGTGGAGGCGGCGGCGGAGGAGGCGGTGGTGGTGGAGGAGGTGGAGCTGGTCGTGGTGGTACCCAGCAGCGGAGCGGCGGTGGTGGTGCCCAGCGCTCGCAGCGGCAGCAGCAGCAGCGTTCGCGGGACATCCCTCCGCCTCAGCAGCTTCGTGAGTGGTACGCTGCGCGTCAGAGGGGTGGGGGTACTGGTCCCTGCGCCTACGTTCTTCGTTCCGGCGACCGCGCGGGTGAGCAGTGTGGGGGTGCCCACTCCACCCAGCGCTGCTTTGGCCGCCTCACGGACGCTTGGCGTCAGCAGTTCCCCGGGGCTAGTGAGATCCCTCGCTGGGATGAGCTCCTTAGGGCTGGTGTAGCGATCTTTGATCTTGATTTTGATGCTATCCTTTCTGCTATGTATGCTGTGACTTATAGTGAGGAGAATGAGGGTTACCGGTGTTTCCAGCCTGACCCAGGCATTGGTACTGCTGCACTAGGTACTTGTGAGGCTGCTGCTCTAGGTGCCAGTGCGTCTGCGCTCTCAGGTACTAGTGAGACTGCGCTCTCAGGTGCTGGTGAGACTGCGCTCTCAGATACTGCGTCGCCCTCGTCCTCCCTCACTTTCACACTTGACTCTGGGGCTTCTCGCTCCTTCTTTCGAGACCGCACTACCCTTACGCCTCTTGGCCGGCCGGTTGCGGTCTCCCTTGCTGACCCCTCTGGGGGTCCTGTCCTGTCTCACTTCTCCACTGTCCTCCCGTGTCCGGCTGCCCCTTCGGGCACCCTGTCTGGTCTGTACCTTCCCTCGTTCTCTACGAACTTGGTGAGTGGTGCGGACCTACAGGATGCGGGGGTTCACCAGTTCACTCCTGCGAGGCGACGGGTGACCCACTGCACGGACGCAGACACAGGCCGACACCTGGCCACCTTTTCGCGTCGGCCAGGGTCGAGTCTCTACACCCTGACCACTTCGTCTCCTCCTGTCCCTGCGTCTGGTCAGGTAGCTGCGTCAGGTCAGGTGTTTGCTGCTGCTTCCAGGTCAGGTCCTGAGTCTGCCCCCTGTTCTTGTCGCCTCCTGTCTCACGAGACTCTCCTGTGGCACCACCGTCTTGGCCACCCCTCCTTGCCCCGTCTTCGGAGCATGGCTTCCCGTGTCCTTGTCTCTGGTCTTCCCCAGTCTCTCCCTCCTCTCCCCTCCGGGCCAGGACCTTCCTGTGTCCCTTGTGTCGAGGGTCGCCTCCGGGCTACTCCTCACTCCTCCCACTTCCCCCCGACAGAGGCTCCCCTGCAGACGCTTCACATGGATGTGTGGGGCCCAGCCCCCGTCCGTGGGCAGGGTTACGAGCGCTACTTCCTGTTGGTGGTTGACGACTACTCGCGTTACACCACAGTCCTCCCCTTGCGCAGCAAGGGTGCGGTCACTGAGGTGCTGATCGACTGGATCCGCGAGGCTCGTCTCCAGCTCAGGAAGAGCTTCGGCTCGGACTTTCCTGTTCTGCGTCTGCACTCTGACAGAGGCGGAGAGTTCTCTTCTCGCCTTCTGCGAGACTACTGTCGTGCACGGGGGATCCGCCAGACCTTCACGCTTCCGGACTCACCACAGCAAAATGGGATTGCTGAGCGCCGCATTGGCATGGTCATGGATGTCGCTCGTACGTCCATGATGCATGCGGCTGCCCCCCATTTTCTGTGGCCGTTTGCTGTGAGGTACGCGGCGCATCAGCTCAACCTTCACCCCCGGGTCTCTCGGCCTGCGATGTCCCCAGTCTTGCTGTGGACAGGGAAGGTTGGCGATGCGTCTGTGTTCCGTGTCTGGGGATCTCGGGCGTTTGTCCGCGACTTGTCTGCCGACAAGCTGTCCCCCCGTGCTGCTCCCTGTGTCTTCCTTGGCTTCCCCACTGACGCCCCAGGGTGGCAGTTTTACCACCCCTCCTCTCGTCGTGTTCTGTCCTCCCAGGACGTCACGTTCGACGAGTCAGTCCCCTTCTACCGTCTCTTCCCCTACCGCACTCCTTCCCTCCCCCCTCCCCCGGACTTCCTTGTGCCGGTTCCCCCCCCGGTCGACCCCCTCCCCCCTCAGGTTCCTGCCCCCTCAGGTGTGTCCCAGGTAGACGCCGTTGACCCGGTCGAGGTTACTGGTGACTCTGGTGCTGCTGCGGGTGCTGAGCCTGGGGGTGCTGACTCTGGGGGTGCTGACCCTGAGGGTGCGGGGCCTGGGGGTGCTACTGCTGGGGGTGCTGGGCCTGGGGGTGCTACTGCGGTGGGTGCGGAGCCTGGGGGTACTGGGCCGGGGGGTGCTGTGCCTGGAGGTGCTGAGTCTGGGGGTGCTGAGCTGGGAGCTGCTGGGCCTGAGGGTACTGAGCTGGGAGCTGCTGAGCCTGGGGGTGCTGCGCCTAGAGTTGCTGAGCCTGGGGTTTCTCCTGCTGCTGCGTCTCGCCGGGAGCCCCTCTCTCCACCGGAGCTGCGCGAGTGGTTCGCTCGCCGCTGGAGGCGTGCTGCTGGAGCTGGAGCTGGAGCTTCTTCGACCGTCGAGGGTGCGGGTGCTGCCGGTCCCGGAGCTGCTGGACCTACTGGTCCTCCTGGAGCTGGAGCTGCTGAGGGCGTTGGTGCTGAGCCTGCTGCTGTTGGACCTGCCGCTGGAGGTGTGGGTGGCGCTGGTGCTGTCGCTGAGGGTGCTGGTACTGTCCCTGCTGAGTCTGGAGCTGCCGCGCGGCCTCGGCCGTACTTCGTTCCGCTCCTGCAGCAGGTTCTTGGTCTTTCTCCTCCTGTAGAGGGTCCACCGCCTGTCCAGTCGCAGTCCCTACTGGAGCCTTCCTCTCCGCTGCCTGCTCCCTCTCCTTACACTGGTCCTACTGGAGGTCTTGCTGAGCGCCGTGAGCCTGCGTCTCGTCCCGCGTCGCCTGTTCGTGCTGCTCGCGCTAGTGGTCGCAGTTCGCGTCAGCGTCCTCCTCCTGTCCCTGGCACGCACCGGATGTCTCTGCGTCCGTCCACTGCTCCTCTGCGTGCCCCTTTGCCTTCTCCTCCTGGGTCCTCTCTTCCTGCGCTTGCCGACCCTGAGTCGGACTCTCTTCGCGCTGCCAGTCCTACTGTCACGCGTCTGCTTGCTACTGTCGTCACTGACCCCTCGTTTGAGTCCACTGCTGCGTCTGCTCTGGTCGCTGAGCTCGTTGACTTTGCTGCTCGCTGTCGTCTCGACTACGCTGCTAGTCTTGTTGCTGAGTCTGTGTCTGGCTGTCCTCTGTCCGTCGGGGGTGAGTGTGCTCTTGGCACGGACGTCCTAGAGGACAGGCAGGAGGAGTTACAGTGTCTAGCGGCTGCTTCACCTCATCTCGCGTCTGTACTGCTTGCCCCTGAGGGAGACCCGGATGCACTAGACATCCCGACTCCGCGTTCTTACGCGGAGGCCGTAGAGGGTCCCTACTCCTCTCAGTGGCAGGCAGCTATGGATGCAGAGATGGCTTCCTGGAAGTCCACAGGCACCTACGTTGACGCAGTTCCCCCTCCTGGGGCGAACATCGTCAGTGGCATGTGGATCTTCAGGGTGAAGCGACCGCCGGGCTCTCCACCTGTCTTCAAGGCACGGTACGTTGCTCGTGGCTTCAGTCAGCGGCAGGGAGTTGACTACTTTCAGACCTTCTCTCCCACCCCGAAGATGACCACTCTTCGGGTGCTGCTGCACATAGCCGCTCAGCGCGACTACGAGCTTCACTCTCTTGACTTCAGCACTGCGTGACTAGGAGCTGCACTCCCTCTACTTCAGCACAGCTTTCTTGCAGGGCAGCCTGCACGAGGAGATCTGGCTGCGCCGTCCGCCTGGCTTCACTGGGACTTTCCCTCCTGGCACCCAGTGGAGCCTCCGACGGCCAGTCTACGGTCTCCGCCAGGCACCGCGTGAGTGGCACGACACACTGAGGACTACGCTTGCGGCTCTTGGGTTTGCTCCTTCTACTGCTGACCCGTCGCTGTTTCTTCGCACCGACGCTTCCCTGCCGCCGTTCTACATCCTCGTGTACGTCGACGACTTGGTCTTTGCCACAGCGGACACTGCTGGACTCGCCTACGTGAAGTCCGAGCTGCTGAAGAGACACACGTGCACAGACCTGGGTGAACTGCGCAGCTACCTTGGCTTGCAGATCACTCGGGACAGAGCACGCCGCACCATCACCTTGACTCAGTCACACATGGTGCAGCAGGTCCTTCAGCGCTTCGGCTTCACGTACTCCTCGCCTCAGGCCACTCCTCTGCCTACTCGCCACTCACTCTCAGCTCTGCCTTCGGATGAGTCCGTAGAGTCGAGTGGTCCGTATGCAGAGCTTGTTGGCTGCCTCATGTACCTGATGACCTGCACACGACCCGACCTCGCATACCCTCTGAGCATCCTTGCACGCTATGTTGCTCCTGGGAGACACCGACCAGAGCACATGGCTGCAGCGAAGAGGGTATTGCGCTACCTGTGCAGTACGTCAGGCATGGGGCTAGTGCTTGGAGGGCGCAGTCCAGTGGTCCTTACAGGCCACGCGGACGCTTCTTGGGCTGACGACCAGGCTACGCAGCGGTCGTCACAGGGTTACACCTTCAGCCTTGGTTCCGGCTCTGTCTCGTAGCGGTCTACTCGCTCGTCTTCGGTTCTCGGCTCCAGTTGTGAGGCTGAGATCTACGCCGGGGCCATGGCTGCACAGGAGCTTCGCTGGCTCACCTACCTGCTGACTGACCTTGGAGAGCCGCCTCGTTCTCCTCCAGTGCTGTACGTAGACAACAAGGCCATGCTGGCCTTGTGTCGAGAGCAGCGCTTGGAGCACAGAACGAAGCACATTGCTCTCCGCTACTTCCTTGCTCGTGAGCTGCAGCAGCGTGGTCAGTTGCGACTTGCGTACGTGGCCTCTGAGGCCAACACTGCTGATGTGTTCACCAAGGCACTGGCGCCTTGTGACCATCAGCGCTGTTGTACCCAGCTGGGTCTTGTGCCTGTCTTGCCTCACTTGCTCTCTTCTTGACTTTACTTGTACTGTGACATATATATACCTGCTCTTGCTTGTCTTGCTTTATATATATGTGTCTGTACTCTTGCATGTGAACTGGCCTTTGGCCTTGCTCTTGTGCTCGGACTGTGTGGTGACTTTGTGATCCACCCCGAGCTTGCTTTGCTTTGCTTGACTGGTCTTGTGACCTCTTGTTCTCCCCCACTTTGCCTATGGGGGTGTGTCAGAACATATAGCTTACCTGTTTGTGTAGGCCACAGTGGGGTATCCCATAAGGGGTACAACACAATTAGGTTTCCCATTTGTACCAACTTCTGACTTAGTCATTTCATTCCTGTTTACCTATCTTCACAATGGACGTGGACGTGGACGTGGACGTGGACGTGGACATGGACGTGGAGGTGGACGTGGACGTGGAGGTGGACGTGGACGTGGACGAGACGTGGACGTGGACGTGGACGTGACGTGGACGTGGACGTGGACGTGGACGTGGACGTGGACGTGGACGTGCACGAGGACGTGGACGTGGAGGTGGACGTGGACGTGGACGTGGACATGGACGTGGACGTGGACGTGGACGTGGACGTGGACGTGGACGTGGACTTGGACGTGGACGTGGACGTGGACGTGGACGTGGACGTGGACGTGGACGTGGTCGTGGACGTGGACGTGGACGTGGACGTGGACGTAGAGGTGGAGGACTTGAATGTGGACTGGACGTGGACGTGGACGTGGACGTGGACGTGGACGTGGACATGGACCTGGACGTGGACGTGGACGTGGACATGGACGTGGACGTGGACGTGGACATGGACGTGGACGTGGACGTGGACGTGGACCTGGACGTGGACGTGGACGTGGACGTGGACATGGAGGTGGACGTGGACGTGGACGTGGACGTGGACGTGGACGTGGACATGGACGTGGACATGGACGTGGACATGGACGTGGACGTGAACGTGGACGTGAACGTGGACGTGGACATGGACGTGGATGTGGACGTGGAAGTGGACGTGGACGTGGATGTGGACGTAGACGTGGACGTGGACGTGGACGTGGACGTGGACGTGGACGTGGACATGGACATGGACGTGGACATGGACGTGGACGTGGATGTGGACATGGACGTGGACGTAGACGTGGACGTGGACGTGGACATGGACGTGGACGAGGACGTGGACGTGGACGTGGACATGGACGTGGACGAGGACGTGGACGTGGACATGGATGTGGACGAGGACATGGACGTGGACGAAGACGTGGACGTGGACGTGGACGTGGACGAAGACGTGGACGTGGACGTGGACTTGGACGTGGACATGGACGTGGACGTGGACGTGGACGTGGACGAGGACGTGGACATGGACGTGGACGTGGACGTGGACGTGGACGTGGACGTGGACATGGACGTGGACGTGGACGTGGACGTGGACGTGGACATGGACATGGACGTGGACGTGGACGTGGACGTGGACGTGGACGTGGACGTGGACGTGGACGTGGACATGGACGTGGACTTGGACGTGGACGTGGACGTGGACGTGGACGTGGACGTGGACAGGGACGTGGACGTGGACGTGGACGTGGACGTGGACGTGGACGTGGACGTGGACGTGGACGTGGACGTGGACACGTAGAGGTGGAGGACTTGAACGTGGACTGGACGTGGACCTGGACGTGGACGTGGACATTGTCGTGGACGTCGACGTCCACGTCGACGTGACGTGGACGTGGACGTGGACACGGACGTGGACGTGGACATGGACGTGGACGTGGACGTGGACGTGGACGTGGGGACATGGACGTGAACGTGGACGTGGACGTGGACGTGGACGTGGACATGGACGTGGAAGTGGACGTGGAGGACTTGGACGTGGACATGGACATGGACGTGGACGTGGACGTGGAGGTGGACGTGGACATGGACGTGGACGTGGACGTGGACGTGGACGTGGACATGGACGTGGAGGTGGACGTGGACTTGGAAGTGGACGTGGACGTGGACGTGGACATAGACGTGGACGTGGACGTGGACGTGGACATGGACGTGGACGTGGACGTGGACGTGGACGTGGACGTGGACGTGCACGAGGACGTGGACGTGGAGGTGGACGTGGACGTGGACGTGGACGTGGACGTGGACGTGGACGTGGACGTGGACGTGGACGTGGACGTGGACTTGGACGTGGACGTGGACGTGGACGTGGACGTGGACGTGGACGTGGACGTGGTCGTGGACGTGGACGTAGACGTGGACGTGGACGTGGACGTAGAGGTGGAGGACTTGAATGTGGACTGGACGTGGACGTGGACGTGGACGTGGACGTGGACATGGACCTGGACGTGGACGTGGACGTGGACATGGACGTGGACGTGGACGTGGACGTGGACGTGGACGTGGACATGGACGTGGACGTGGACGTGGAGGTGGACGTGGACGTGGACGTGGACGTGGACGTGGACGTGGACGTGGACGTGGACGTGGACGTGGACATGGACGTGGACATGGACGTGGACGTGGACGTGGAGGTGGACGTGGACGTGGACATGGACGTGGACGTGGACGTGGACGTGGACCTTGTCGTGGACGTGGACGTGGACGTGGACGTGGTCGTGGACGTGGTCGTGGACGTGGACGTGGACGTGGTCGTGGACGTAGACGTGGACGTGGTCGTGGACGTGGACGTGGACATGGACATGAACGTGGACATGGACGTGGACGTGGACGTGGACGTGGACATGGACGTGGACGTGGACGTGGACGTGGACGTGGGGACATGGACGTGAACGTGGACGTGGACGTGGGGACATGGACGTGGACATGGACGTGGACGTGGACGTGGACGTGGACGTGGAGGTGGACGTGGACGTGGACCTGGAAGTGGATGTGGACGTGGACGTGGACGTGGACATAGACGTGGACGTGGACGTGGACGTGGACGTGGACATGACATGGACGTGGACGTAGACGTGGACGTGGACGTGGACATGGACGTGGAGGTGGACGTGGACGTGGACCTGGAAGTGGATGTGGACGTGGACGTGGACGTGGACATAGACGTGGACGTGGACGTGGACGTGGACGTGGACATGACATGGACGTGGACGTAGACGTGGACGTGGACGTGGACATGGACGTGGACGAGGACGTGGACGTGGACGTGGACATGGACGTGGACATGGACGTGGACGTGGACATGGATGTGGACGTGGACGTGGACATGGACGTGGACGTGGACGTGGACGTGGTTGTGGACGTGGACGTGGACGTGGACGTCGACATGGACGTGGACGTGGACGTGGACGTGGACGTGGTTGTGGACGTGGACGTGGACGTAGAGGTGGAGGACTTAACCGTGGACTGGACGTGGACGTAGACGTGGACGTGAACGTGGACATGGACGTGGACGTGGACGTGGTTGTGGACGTGGACGTGGACGTGGACGTAGACGTGGACGTGGACGTGGACGTGGACGTGGTTGTGGACGTGGACGTGGACATGGACGTGGACGTGGACGTAGAGGTGGAGGACTTGAACGTGGACTGGACGAAGACGTGGACATGGACGTGAACGTGGACATGGACCTGGACGTGGACGTGGACGTGGACGTGGACATGGACATGGACGTGGACGTGGGCGTGGAGGTGGACGTGGACGTGGACATGGACGTGGACGTGGACGTGGACGTGGACGTGGACGTGGACATGGAGGTGGACGTGGACGTGGACGTGGAGGTGGACGTGGACGTGGACATGGACGTGGACGTGGACGTGGAGATGGACGTGGACGTGGACGTGGACGTGGACATGGACGTGGACGTGGACATGGACGTGGACATGGACGTGGACATGGACGTGGACATGGACGTGGACGTGGACGTGGACATGGACGTGAACGTGGACATGGACGTGGACGTGGACGTGGACATGGACGTGGACGTGGACGTGGACGTGGACGTGGGGACATGGACGTGAAAATGGACGTGGACGTGGACGTGGACGTGGACGTGGACGTGGAGGACTTGGACGTGGACATGGACATGGACGTGGACGTGGACGTGGACATGGACGTGGACGTGGACGTGGACGTGGACGTGGACATGGACGTGGAGGTGGACGTGGACGTGGACGTGGAAGTGGACGTGAAGGTGGACGTCGACGTGGACATAGACGTGGACGTGGACGTGGACGTGGACGTGGACGTGGACATGGACGTGGACGTGGACATGGACGTGGACGTGGACGTGGACATGGACGTGGACGTAGACGTGGACGTGGACGTGGACATGGACGTGGACGAGGACGTGGACGTGGAGGTGGACATGGACGTGGACATGGACGTGGACGTGGACGTGGACGTGGACGTGGACGTGGAGGTGGACATGGACGTGGACATGGACGTGGACGTGGACGTGGACATGGACGTGGACGTGGACGTGGACATGGACGTGGACGTGGACGTGGAGGTGGAGGTGGACGTGGACGTGGACGTGGAGGTGGACGTGGACGTGGACGTGGACTTGGACGTGGACGTGGACGTGGTCGTGGACGTGGACGTGGACGTGGACATGGACGTGGACGTGGACGTGGACGTGGACGTGGACGTGCACGTGGACGTGGACGTGGACATAGAGGTGGAGGACTTGAACGTGGACTGGACGTGGACGTGGACGTGGACGTGGTCGTGGACGTGGACATGGACCTGGACGTGGACGTGGACGTGGACGTGGACGTGGACGTGGACGTGGACATGGAGGTGGACGTGGACGTGGACATGGACGTGGAGGTGGACGTGGACATGGACATGGACGTGGACGTGGACATGGACGTGGACGTGGACGTGGACGTGGACGTGGACATTGACGTGGACGTGGACGTGGACGTGGACATTGACGTGGACGTGGACGTGGACATTGTCGTGGACGTCGACGTGGAGGTGGACGTGGTCGTGGAGGTGGAGGTGGACGTGGACGTGGACATGGACGTGGACGTGGACGTGGACATTGTCGTGGACGTCCATGTGGACGTGGACGTGGACATTGTCGTGGACGTCCATGTGGACGTAGATGTGGACGTGGTCGTGGACGTGGACGTGGACGTGGTCGTGGACGTGGACGTGGACGTGGACGTGGTCGTGGACGTGGACATGGACGTGGACGTGGACGTGGACGTGGACATTGTCGTGGACGTCGACGTGGACGTGGACGTGGACGTGGACGTGGTGGTGGACGTGGACGTGGACGTGGACGATGTGGACCTGGACATGGACGTGGACGTGGAAGTGGACGTGGACGTGGACGTGGAGATGGACGTGGACGTGGACGTGGACGTGGACATGGACGTGGACGTGGACGTGGACGTGGACATGGACGTGGACGTGGACGTGGACGTGGACGTGGACGTGGACGTGAACGTGGACGTGGACGTGGACGTGGACGTGGACGTGGACGTGAACGTGGACGTGGACGTGGACGTGGACGTGGACATGGACGTGGAGGACGTGGACATGGACGTGGACGTGGACGTGGAGGACTTGGACGTGGACATGGACGTGGACGTGGACGTGGACGTAGACGTGGACGTGGACATGGACGTGGACGTGGACGTGGACGTGGACATGGACGTGGACGTGGACGTGGACGTGGAGATGGACGTGGACGTGAACGTGGACGTGGACGTGGACGTGGACATGGACGTGAACGTGGACATAGACGTGGACGTGGACATGGACGTGGACGTGGACGTGGACGTGGACGTGGACGTGGACGTGGACATGGACGTGGACGTGGACGTGGACATGGATGTCGACGTGGTCGTGGACATGGACGTGGACGTGGACGTGGACGTGGATGTGGACGTGGAGGACTTGGACGTGGACATGGACATGGACGTGGACGTGGACTTGGACATGGACTTGGACGTTGACATGGACATAGACGTGGACGTGGACGTGGACGTGGACATGGACGTGGACGTGGACGTGGATAGGGAAGTGGACCTGGACGTGGATGTGGCAAGGACGTGGACATGGATGTGGACGTGGACATGGACGTGGACATGGATGTGGACGTGGACGTGGACGTGGACGTGGACATGGACGTGGACGTGGACATGGACGTGGATGTGGACATGGACATGGACATGGACGTGGACGTGGACGTGGACGTGGACGTGGACCTTCTCGTGGACGTGGACGTGGACGTGGATGTGGTCGTGGACGTGGACGTGGACGTGGACGTGGACGTAAACGTGTACTTGGACGTGGAGATGGACGTGGACATGGATGTGGACGTGGACATGGACGTGGACATGGATGTAGACGTGGACGTGGACGTGGACGTGGACATGGACGTGGACGTGGACGTGGACGTGGATGTGGACATGGACATGGACATGGACGTGGACGTGGACGTGGACCTTCTCGTGGACGTGGACGTGGACGTGGACGTGGTCGTGGACGTGGACGTGGACGTGGACGTAAATGTGGACGACGTGGACGTGGACGTGGACGTGGACGTGGACGTGGAGATGGACGTGGACGTGGACGTGGACGTGGACGTCGACGTGGACGTGGACGTGGACGTGGAGATGGACGTGGACTTGGACGTGGACGTGGACGTGGACGTGGATAGGGAAGTGGACCTGGACGTGGACGTGGACATGGACGTGGACATGGACGTGGACATGGACATGGACGTGGACATGGATGTGGACGTGGACGTAGAAGTGGACGTGGACATGGACGTGGACGTGGACGTGGAAGACTTGGACGTGGACATGGACGTGGACGTGGACGTCGACGTGGAGGTGGACGTGGACCATGGACATGGACATGGACGTGGACGTGGACGTGGACGTGGACGTGGACATGGACATGGACGTGGACGTAGACGTGTAGGTGGACGTGGACGTGGACGTGGACGTGGACGTGGACGTGGACATGGACGTGGACGTGGACGTGAACGTGGACATGGACCTGGACGTGGACGTGGACGTGGACGTGGACGTGGTCGTGGACGTGGACGTGGACGTGGACATGGACGTGGACGTGGACGTGGACGTGGACGTGGTTGTGGACGTGGACGTGGACATGGACGTGGACGTGGACGTAGAGATGGAGGACTTGAACATGGACTGGACGTGGACGTGGACGTGGACGTGAACGTAGACATGGACGTGGACGTGGACGTGGACGTGGACGTGGACGTCGAAGTGGACGTGGACATGGAGGTGGACGTGGACGTGGACATGGACGTGGACGTGGACGTGGACATGGATGTGGACATGGACGTGGACGTGGACGTGGACGTGGAGGTGGACGTGGACGTGGACATGGACGTGGACGTGGACGTGGACGTGGACATTGTCGTGGACGTCAACGTGGACATGGACGTGGACGTGGTCGTGGACGTGGACATGGACGTAGACGTGGACATGGAGGTGGACGAGGACGTGGACGTGGACGTGGATGTGGACGTGGACGTGAACGTGGACGTGGACGTGGACGTGGACGTGGAGGTGGACGTGGACGTGAACGTGGACGTGGTCGTGGACGTGGACGTGGACATGGACGTGGACGTGGACTTGGACGTGGACGTGGACGTGGACGTGGTTGTGGACGTGGACGTGGACATGGACGTGGACATGGACGTAGAGGTGGAGGACTTGAACGTGGACGTGGACATGGACGTGGACGTGGACGAGGACGTGGACGTGGACATGGACCTGGACGTGGACGTGTACGTGGACGTGGACGTGGCCATGGACGTGGACGTGGACGTGGACATGGACGTGGACGTGGACGTGGACGTGGACGTGGACGTGGACGTGGACATGGAGGTGGACGTGGACGTGGACATGGACGTGGACGTGGACATGGACGTGGACGTGGACGTCGACGTGGAGGTGGAAGTGGACGTGGACATGGACGTGGACGTGGACAAGGACATTGTCGTGGACGTCGACGTGGACGTGGACGTGGACGTGGTCGTGGACGTGGACGTAGACGTGGACGTGGACATGGACGACATGGACCTGTACGTGGACGTGGACGTGGACGTGGACGTGGAGATGGACGTGGACGTGGACGTGGACGTGGACATGGACGTGGACATGGACGTGGACGTGGACGTGGACGTGGACATGGACATGGACGTGGACTTGGACGTGGACATGGACGTGGACATGGACGTGGACGTGGACGTGGACGTGGACGTGGACATGGACGTGGACGTGGACGTGGACATGGACGTGGACGTGGACGTGCACGTGGACGTGGACGTGGACATGGATGTCGACGTGGTCGTGGACATGGACGTGGACGTGGACGTGGACGTGGATGTGGACGTGGAGGACTTGGACGTGGACATGGACATGGATGTGGACGTGGACTTGGACATGGACGTGGACGTTGACATGGACATGGACGTGGACGTGGACGTGGACGTGGACGTGGACATGGACGTGGACGTGGACGTGGACGTGGATAGGGAAGTGGACCTGGACGTGGATGTGGACATGGACGTGGACATGGATGTGGACGTGGACATGGATGTGGACATGGACGTGGACGTGGACCTGGACGTGGACGTGGACATGGACGTGGACGTGGACATGGACATGGATGTGGACATGGACATGGACATGGACGTGGACGTGGACGTGGACGTGGACGTGGACCTTCTCGTGGACGTGGACGTGGACGTGGACGTGGTCGTGGACGTGGACGTGGACGTGGACGTAAACGTGTACGTGGACGTGGAGATGGACGTGGACATGGATGTGTACGTGGACATGGACTTGGACATGTATGTGGACGTGGACGTGGACGTGGACGTGGACATGGACGTGGACGTGGACGTGGACGTGGATGTGGACATGGACATGGACATGGACGTGGACGTGGACGTGGACGTGGACGTGGACCTTCTCGTGGACGTGGACGTGGACGTGGTCGTGGACGTGGACGTGGACGAGGACGTGGACGTAAACGTGGACGACGTGGACGTGGACGTGGACGTGGACGTGGACGTGGAGATGGACGTGGATGTGGATGTGGACGTGGACGTGGACGTGGACGTCGACGTGGACGTGGACGTGGACGTGGAGATGGACTTGGACTTGGACGTGGACGTGGACGTGGACGTGGATAGGGAAGTGGACCTGGACGTGGACGTGGACATGGACGTGGACATGGACGTGGACGTGGACATGGACGTGGACATGGATGTGGACGTGGACGCAGACGTGGACGTGAACATGGACGTGGACATGGACGTGGACGTGGACGTGGACGTCGACGTGGAGGTGGACGTGGACCATGGACATGGACATGGACGTGGACGTGGACGTGGACGTGGACGTGGACATGGACGTGGACGTAGACGTGTACGTGGACGTGGAAGTGGACGTGGACGTAAACGTGGACGTGGACGTGGACGTCGACGTGGACGTAGACGTGGAGGACTTGGACGTGGACGTGGACGTCGACGTGGACGTGGACGTGGGCGTGGACGTGGACGTGGAGGTGGAGGTGGACGTTGACGTGGACGTGGACGAGGAGGTGGACGTGGACGTGGACGTGGACGTGGACGTGGACGTGGACATGGACGTGGACGTGGACGTGATCGTGGACGTGGACGTGGACGTGGTCGTGGACGTGGACGTGGACATGGACGTGGACGTGGACGTGGATGTGGACATGGTCATGGACCTGGACGTGGACGTGGACGTGGAGGTGGACGTGGACATGAACGTGGACGTGTACGTGGACGTGGACATGGACGACGTGGACCTGGACGTGGACGTGGACGTGGATGTGGACGTGGACGTGGACGTGGAGATGGACGTGGACGTGGACGTGGACGTGGACATGGACGTGGACGTGGACGTGGACGTGGACGTGGACGTGGACATGGACGTGGACGTGGACGTGGACATGGACGTGAACGTGGACATAGACGTGGACGTCGACGTGGACGTGGACATGGACGTGGACGTGGACGTGAACGTGGACGTGGACGTGGGGACATGGACGGTGAACGTGGACGTGGACGTGGACATGGACGTGGACGTGGACGTGGAGGACGTGGAGACCGTAGGAACATGGACGTGGACGTGACCGTGACGTGGACGATGGACGTGGACATGGACGTGGACGTGGACGTGGACGTGACGTGGGACGTGGACATGGACGTGGAGGTGGACGTGGATGTGGACGTGGAAGTGGACGCGGACGTGGAACGTGGACGTGGACATAGACGTGGGACGTGGACGTGGAACGTGGCCGTGGACGTGGACATGGGACATGGACGTTGACGATGTGACCGTGGACGTGGATGTGGAACATGGGACGTGGACGTAGACTGGACGTGGACGTGGACAATGGACGTGGACAGTGGACGTGGGACATGGATGTGGGACGAGGACATGGACGTGGAGGTGGACGTGGACGTGGACGTGGACATGGACGTGGACATGGAGTAGTGACGGGGACAATGGACGTGGACGTGGGACATGGACGTGGACATGGACGTGGACGAGGGGACGTGGACGTGACGTGGACGTGGACGTGGACGTGGACGTGGACGTGG